CTCTGTTCTCTATCCCATGTGTATATTATTTTTTTCTCATCGTTCTCCCACTTTCCCATTTTTTCCTGCATTAAATTTCTTTCATGTTTGTTTATTGAGAGACAGAGAGAGAGAGAGAGAGAGAGAGAGAGAGCAAGCAGGGGTGGGGCAGACAGAGAGGGAGACGGGATCTGAAGGGGGCTCCGAGTTGTCAGCGCAGAGCCTGATGCTGGGCTTGAATTCACGAACTCCGAGATCATGATCTGAGCTGAAGTCAGATGCTTAACTGACTGAGCCACCCCTGCATTTAAACATTTTTTAAATTGTGGTACAATATACATAACATAAAACTTACCATCTTAACCTATTTAAGTATGCAGTTCACTGGCATTAAGTACATTCACCCTGTCAGGCAACCATCACCACCATCTGTCTCCAGAATGCTTTTCATCTTGCAAAACTGAAACCCATACCCAGTGAACACTAACCCCCACTTCCTTCCCCAACCCCCGGCACCACCTTTCTAACTCTTTCTTAGGAATGTGAGTGCACTAGGCACCTCAGGTAAGTGGAAACAGTATTTGTTTTTTTGTGACTGGCTTATTTCATTTAGCACAATGTCAGCAAGGTTCATTTGAATTTTCTTTTTTGTACCATTAATGTTTTATTACTTTTCCAGTTAAAAAGACTACTAATTACTTGTCAAAAAAAAAATCACAATGTCGACTTATAAGACTAAAGGAAAAAGCAGAAATCAAAACTTAGTGTAAAATGTCATCACAGCTTTGTGGGGAAAAAAAAATCACACACGTTGGAACTCAGCAGAAACAACTGGAAGTTTCTAGTGACGTTAGTGACTATTTATAGATGGGTCATAGTTACATTTTATTTCCTATTTTTCTGTTTTTCATTGTTCCATGATGAGACCGACAGGCTTATAATCAGGAAAAAGCAAATGCCATCTAAGAAACAGGTATGTCAACTTTGGAAAAATGTTTCGTCCAAGTTTTCTCAGGAAACCCTGAGTTTACTAAGTTCTTCTATTGCCACAAATTAAATATACTTGCAGCCATGAATCTACATGTCCCAATTGGAAGTTAGGAACATCACACTGATTTTGGCCAACAAATGGCATTCAGTCGGTGAGTGTGAGATCAAAGAACAGGAGACCGATCAAAGAGTCTTTTCTACCCGAGTCATCTGTTTGGCTCCTGGGAAATCCAGCCAGAAGTCTGACGTTGTGTCACTGGGGGAAAGTGGCGTCTTCCGGGGGCACTGGCTCTCGGCAGAGCTGATTGTAGATACAGTGCAGTGACGTCACAGTGACAGCCTGGAATTGGTTACGGCGGAGGTATTTACATCATGGAAACTGGCAAACACTACAAGTCAACCCTCGCCCCTGCCCCGGCCTCCCCTCCCCAAGTGACTACCAGCTAGAGAATCTGTGGTGAAATATTTGCCAGGTACTGCTAGGTGCAAACACACCTGTCTCAGGTGGGTGAGCCATTCCCCTTCCCTCCAGTCCCTGGCTGCTTGTTTCTCAGGGCACCAGATGGCCATTTCCTTGATCCGTCTGTTAGCACCATTTTGCTTTCTGTGTTTGGATCAGGCTTCCACGTTCTGTGGTTCTTTGCCTCTCAGAGACACCAAGCTTCACCCTCCTGTCTCGAGTCCAGAGAGGAGAGGTTGGGCTCCGTCAAAAATAGTAGACTCTAGGGCGCCAGGGGGACTCAGTCGGTTAAGCGTCCGACTTCGGGTCGGGTCAGGATCACACAGTTCATGGGTTCGAGCCCCGCGTCGGGCTCTGTGCTGACAGCTCAGAGCCTGGAGCCTGCTCTGCTTTGGATTCTGTGTCTCCCTCTCTCTCTGCCTCTCCCTGACTCACACTCTGTCTCTCTCTTTCTGTCTCTCTCTTTCTGTCTCTGTCTCTCTGTCTCTGTCTCTCTCAAAAATAAACATTAAAAAAAAAATAGACTCATCAGGGTGCTTGGGTGGCTCCGTCAGTTAAGGGGCCACCTCTTGATTTCAGCTCAGATCATGATGTCACAGTTTGTGAGTTCGAGCCCCGTGTCGGGCTCCACACTGACAGTGCAGAGTCAGTTTGGGATTCTCTCTCTCTCTCTCTCTCTCTCTCTCTCTCCCTTTCTCTCTGCCCCTCCCCTACTCATGCTCTCTCTCCCTCTCTCTCTCAAAATAAATAAACTGAAAAAAAAAAAAAACAAATCATAGTAGACTCATTTGACGGCTCTCCATGTTTCTATTTTCTCATTTCATCCTGCCAGCCTCTTCTTAGAACTTCTCCAGGTTTCAGGAACTTTCTTGCTACTTCAGGCTCTGTGTTCCAGTTCTTTTCCTCTGGGCAGAAGGCAAGAGGGGAAATGGGAGGAGGGAGTGTCTGGGGAAGGTTTATCAGGCTTTCTTTCCCGGAGAACAAGCCGGGTTGCTTTTGTTGTTCCTTTTCCCCTGAGGTGCCAGCCTGTGGGTCCCAGGCCCATCCAAGTGGGTGTGGGTGGGATTCTGTCATCCACCTGTTTCTACCTGTTGAAGTGAGGGGTGCCCAGCTGACTGAAGGGCCAGGCTGCTACCTGAGCTGCTCCCTCCCGACTGGCCTGCCCTCTCTGAAGCCCCCAGGAGAATATCTCGAGGTGGAGCAGAGAAGCAGATTGTTGCTAAGAAACCTTTCAGCATTGCCTCCAGGGAGAGGACAGAGGAGGAGTAGTGAGGCAGAAATAATAGGTAACCTGATGGCTTCAGAGACCCAGGCTGGCTATGGAGTCAGGCATCCTGTCTCTCCCTCAGACACCAAACAAGACAACTGTGCCTCAGACCTGGTTTCAAATCAGCCCCCCTCCATTCATTTGTTAGGCTACCTGGCCTCGCTGAGCCTTCTGTGTAAATCCTGAGTGAGAATGCCTACCTCTCAGGGTTGTGCTAAGGAGTCAATGAATTAATGTAAGTAAAGCGCTTAGCCACAGTAACTTTTCAATTCACAGGAGGTGAAAAGGAAACAAAACAAAACCAGCCATGTGTAGCAGCCTGAGCAGAGAGGTGTTTGAGTCTCATGTTTAACATGTGATTGTGGGATTTAGGATTAATATGTGACTCTAGATGGGGGTCGATGCCTTAACGACACTTCATTGAGTCCCTTCCTACAAGTCAACTCTATCTTTCCAATGACCCACGAGATGCAGATCATAAAACTAAGGCTCTGAAAGGTCCCTACCTTGTTAAGGACCCCACAGTGAGCCCCCACGTCACTGGTCACTGTTCTAGACAGGGAGCTTTCTCCCGTCCAGAGCCACCTGAAATGCTATGGGACACCAGGGCAGGGCATTTCCTGACAGCTCCTGTCTCAGGGTTGGCCACAACCTGTACCCAGACCAGGGAGGGTGGGGGGTTTCCTGGGCTACAGAGCTGTCTTGAGACCCGTTCAGGGACGTGCCCATGTCGGCTGGCCCGGTAACACCCAAAGCATCTGGACCATGGCAGCTCATGCATAAGTGACAAAATTGAATTTTGCTTGGCAGGACTTGGTGTGGGACAAAGATGGGCTCCAGTCCTGGCTTTGCCACCAACCAGCTTTGTGACTTGGAGCTTACCCTCCTGGATCTCTAGGTATCTCATCTATTAAGTGGGATTGCTTGTACAAGGGTTGTAGGGAGGGCCCAATGAGATTACGTTTCTAAAGTAGCTTTGGAAAAAGTCCCCAGCCATGCAAACTACTCAGCATTGTCAACCATCCTGAAGGAAGTTGATCCTTGTGGGGGTGGAGAACTAACTGGTCAGGAGGACCTCACCTTTGACTCAGCAAATATATCAGGAGGGCCGGCTCTGTGCAATTCCTCTCTTGAGGTACCACCAGGGTCACAGAAAATTCCAGAGCCTCAGCTGGAAACTTGCCAGCTATTGATTTTACCTCTATCTTGTTAGCTTCAGGTCGGGAATGTGAGGTCAGGAGTTTGTCAGAAAAGCCTGCAGAGCTCCAAGACCAAAACCAACGAACCTCTCCTTTGTTTATTTAACAGATACGTAGTGGGTGGTTAAGAGGTGCCAGGCACTGAGGAAACAGGAAGAGGTCAATGAGGATGAAATTTACTTTCCATCACAAGGTAGAAGATGAACCAACAAAACGGAAGGGAAAGGAAGAAAACCCTCAGGAGCTGGCGGAAGAGTTAAATCACTGCGGGAAAGAGGGGAAAGGGAAGGGCCGTACAACTTTGTGGCTCAGTTCGTCAGGCAAAGCACATGTTTCATTAGTTTCAAGAGGATTTCATCATGGAAGAAGTATTTCAGTAAGGGGCCTTTGGGCAACAGAACAAATGATTTTTGTCAATAGGAACTCGTGGGTTTTGTCCCAATATTTTATGATGAACATTTTCAAACACAGAAGAGTTGCAGGAAGGCAGGCACCCATATACCCCCCTCCTAGAGTCTAGAGTAATATTTTACTGTACTAATTGCAATTTAAAAAAAAATTGTGTTTACTTAGAAAGAGAGAGAGCAAGCCAGGGAGGGGCAGAGAAAGAGGGGGAGAGAAATCCCATGTAGGCTCAGAGCTGTCAGTGCAGAGCCCCAGGCGGGGCTGGAACTCACCAACTGTGAGATCATGACCTGAGCCAGAACCAAGCAAGAGTCCACGCTTAACCCATTGAGCCACCCAGGCACCCCACAATTTTTTTCAAAGGGGCTTCCTCCTAGGGCAGTTTCAAGTGTCAGCTCTTCCTGAGGATATAGAAACCTTGGTTTTCCTAGGACGGGATGGGATGAGGATGTGGCAGGGAAGAGGGATTTCAGCTCTCCGGGAATCACACTGGATGCGGTTGAGCGTGGTGGGGGGCGGAGGGGGGGGGGCAGAAAGCTTCCGAGAACAAGTTCTGCTGACCCCAGCTCTCGCTGTGTGGTCTCAGCTAGTTAACAGGAGAACAGGAGTCTCGTGGCCGCTTTTGGCTGGAGGTCTAAGGGATCATCTTTCTCCTGCTGTAGACTTGCCTTCGTTCTGCAAAGGGTAGGCGGGGACAGCCATGGCGGTCCTGGCGTCCGCCCGGAGCACAGGAGAGCACGGGAGCACCCTGGAAGAGCTAAGCTGGGACGCCGAGGGGACCCTGAATCCTGCAGCCGGGCGGCCCGCCTCTCCGGGTGCTGCAGCCGGAGCGCCCGGCGGGCCGGGGGCCGGGGACCGGGGTGCCGTCCTGCGGCAGCCGCAGGGCTCTGCACGGCCCAGCGGTCCCCGCGACTCCAGGCTGCCGTCCCGGGCGCAGTGGGCTCGGGGAGGGACCGGCCTCCGCGCTCCACCCCCGACCGGGCCGGACTCGGCTCGGCGCGCCCGGGCGCGCGCCCTTTGCATAAAGCCCTCCTCCCCGGCCAAGGTAGAGGAAGTTGGGCTCCCGCCTGGAAGGGAGGCGGGAGGGAGTCCGGCTCCTGTTGTTTTCCGCGAGCGGGAGTGGGTGGCGGGCGCAGAGGGCGGGGTGCGCCCTCCCACCCCGGGCCGGGCGCTCCGGGGCCAGGACCGCGCCGGGAGCCCGGCGCAGCTCCCAGCCCCGGACTTCGGGCTCAGCCCAAGCATCCTTCCTGGGGGCTGCGGAAAGCGGAGCTACTCGGTCGTTCCGAGGACTCGGGAGGAGCGCTCAGTACCCCGGGGGCCGGGGCCCTAGGGGCGGGGGCGCACGTCCACCCAGCCGGCGCCTGCGCTTCCTGAGGAGCCCCCGGCCGGCATCGGGGGCGAGATGGCCGCGGGCGTCCGGGCGTCCCGGCCGCAGGTCCTCGTCTGCCTCGGGGTGCTGCTGGCCCGCTGGGTCGCCGCAGGTAAGGGGCCGCGGTCCCGAGGGAGAAGTTGAGCTTCGCCGGGCCACGGGAGGGGAGGGGAGGGGAGGGGAGAGCCGGAGACCCAATTCCCTACGACTCCGCGGGAGCCAGTTGTGGCCGCGGCCCCGCAGCCGCCCCGGGAGGGTCTTGAGTTTCCTGCTCGCTGCTCGGCTCTCTTTGCAGGAAGGAATTTTCCCGGGCGCCTGATGGAGGGCAAGATAGCCCCAGTCCCTTGGAGTGGGCAGCCAGCGAGGCTGCGGAGGGCCTGCGGAGAGGTGATGGGGAAATTGGGGAATTTGAAGAGGGAAATTTTGAAGATAGGAAAATTGAAGAGACACGTGTAGGGGGCAGAGTGGTGTTTTGTTTTGGGTTTTGTTTGTTTGTTTGTTTGTTTGTTTTTTTAAGGCGTCGGATGTAAATTTGCGTTCTGGTTTTACCTGCTGTGTTGGGGCTCAAACTCTAGGCTCCTTTATTTTTCTCTCCTTCCTCTGCCCAAGGTTGAACTCGCCTTACACTTGTAACCTGTGGCTTTCCCTACACACCCCTGCAAGCCGACCTGTGCAGACTAGCACATTCAGAACCCTGCCTTCCTCCTTCACCTAAAAAACAAACAAAACTGTTTTATTTTGACGTAATTTCGCTTACAAAAAACTTGCCCTTGCACTTGACATGACCTCTTCCACTTGACATGATTGGCAGAAAGTCTTAAATGCTCCATCTGTGCTCCCCCTTGTAATAATAAGATCAGAGAAAATATATAGGGTAAAAAAACATTAAAAAAGCATTTTTGAATTAATTCACCAGTGAACGCATGTCTTTTGTGTGCAGGGCAGGGTGATGAGAAGTGAGAGTGAGGGCTCAGGTAGAGGGAAAGGAGATGGGCCCAGGAGGTGATGTAATTTGCCAGAATACTTGGAGCCTTATTTTCTGTGTTGCCCAGTGCAGCTCACACTGCTGATCTCCTCTTGTAGGTTCTTAGAGGAATTGCACTTTGAGCTTCCTAGCAGCAAGTGCCAAAAGTTCCTAATGGTCAGGCTCTCATAAGATTTTTTGTTTTGGGGCGCTTGGGTGATTCAGTCGGTTGAGCATCCAACTTCAGCTCAGGTCACAATCTCACGGTTCGTGAGTTGGAGCCCTGCGTCGGGCTCTGTGCTGACAGCTCGGAGCCTGGAGCCTGCTTCAGATTCTGTGTCTCCCCCTCTCTCTGCCCCTCCCCCACTCATGCTCTCACAGTCTCTCTCTCTGTCTCTCTCAAAAATAAATAAACATTAAAAAAGATTTTATTTTGTTTTGTTTTCAGCATTCATTTAAAAGCAGTAAAATTTCCCATAGTCTAGGTTTCTGGTTTATCTGGAAAAATCAGATGATCTGGCAGCACAGGGCCTACTTTTCCACCTGGAACTGAGCAGTGGTCACCCCTTCTCTCTAGGGCATGTGACCCCAAATTTGTCCCATCTCTCCTGTTGTAGTTACCCCTAACCCCCTTCAGTGATGGACCTTATGTGCTGACCCCTGCAGGCTTTGGACTTAATGGCCACTGTGCTAATGGAGAAAAGGAGAGGCCAGACAGTCTCCAACTGGTTGTGTCCAGAAGCTAAAGGTGATTGTTCCCTTTTCTCTGGCTGTCTGCGGTGTTTACTGCTCTGTGAATATCAGGGACCTGGGGACATCAGACCTCTGCGTTGATATCATTGCACTGGAATGAACCAGCGTCTAGGCTGTCTGCCGCTCACCACACAGGGACACTTTCTCTACCGCCATGCCCAGTCATTTTGATACCCAGGCTAAGTTCACCTTCGTGTGTAGTGCTAGGAGGGCTTCCGTAGCTTGGTGTATGTTTGTTGTTTATCTTTCAAATTGGGAGTTATCTTAGGGGGAAAAAAAAAAAACTTTCTCCTGTCACCTAACTCTAGACAGTCTTCATGCCTGCACTGTCACCTGAGCTTATCAATCCCAGGTGATTCTTGGGGAGAAGTTGGTAGGAAAATAAGTGGGTACGATCCCCCGACTCTGTAAAGGATGATAATATGAGGGCAGCCCTGGGAAGTGGTTGCTCATGTTGCTTTTGGGTCCATATTCTGAATTTAAGGTTGGTGGCCCGGGGCGAGGAGGGGGGGCATTCGAGGACCCTCTAGATGCCGTGGGGACGGCTTCTAGTGACAAACAGTTGTCTCATTGCCTCATCTTGTCTGGTTGGGTGACCAGACGTATGAAGACCTCAGGGGCAGTCCCAGCTCTCCCAGTGACTTGTGTGGGCCCTTAAGTAAATCACAGAAGCTTTGTGAACCTCAGTTTTCTCATCTGTAAAATGAGGACTTGGCCCGCCTCATCTTGACCCCAGCGCTCAGGACTGCCGCATGTCAGGATTGAGAGGCCCTCCAAGGTCACCTTCAGCTTCAGTGGTTAAAAAGAACGGAGTGAGCGAAGCCAGGAGAAGGGGCATGCCTCCAAATGGTCTCTTTTGTGATTGTGTCATTCTGCTCCTTGGAGGAGAAGACCATGTTGGCTCAAGTTCCGAGATTCAAGTTTTGCCGGGGTTTTTCCAAGTTCTTTCTTTCTTCCTTTGCCAGGGAGCCCAGGAAGGGGCAGGTCTGCAGGTCTCATGAACACCTACTGCGTCTGTAATGCTACAGCCCGTCTTCTCTCCTCTGTGGGGATTGCCACCGAGGACCTGGGTCCTCAGGCCTAATCACTTAAACTAATTCTTACCTGCCTTTCCAAGTGATCTTTCGGAAAGATTTCTTGCTGTTTTGGCACCTCTGTCATTAGACGACATTCTCCGCCTTCCAGCGACTGACTTAGAGTTTTTTTTGTTTTGTTTTGTTTATTTTTTCCGTGCTGTCCCGGCATGTGGGAGTGGTGCAGCTAGGATGAGGGAGAGTTGGAACGTCCTGTGGCTCCAGGCTGGCTTCCAGTCTTTCAAAGGGAGCCCCTTCTAACCATACAAAGGGCCAAAGACAAATCACTGTTACTCTTTCTTTTATAATCGGGAAGGGTTGTCAGAGGCAGGTGGCAGTTTGTTTATTTTTCTACCACTTTATTGAGATACAACTTACCTACGATAAAATGCACCCTTTTAAACTATGTCAGTCAGTGGTTTTGAGTATATTCACAAGATTATGCAACCATCACCACTAATTAAGTCCAGAATGTTTTCATCGCTCTAAGAAGAAGCGTCAGGCTTGAGTGTTAGCAGTTAACGCCTCACTACCTCCTTCTTCCCCCCACTCCCCCCACCCCCGCCAGGCCACTTTCCTCAGCCCTAGACACCTGCTACCCTACTTTTTATCTTTGTAGACTTGCTCATTTCGGACATTTCATATAAACGGACTCACGATATGTAGTCTTTTATGACTGCGTTCTTTCACTTACTATAATGTTTTCAGGATCCATCCATGCCATTCATTCATCCCTTTTTATGGCCAAATAATGTTCCCACCATATGGATATACCATTTATCTACTCATCAGCTGATGGGCATTTGATGGACTTTTCCATCTTTTGGCCATTATGAATAATACTGCTGTGAATGTACGTGTGAAGTCTTTGTGTAGACACGTTTTCCTTTCTCCTGGATGTCCACCCAGGAGTCGCACTGCTGAGTCATCCTGTTACTTTAACCTTGTCAGGAAATGCCAACCTGTTTTCCAAAGTCGCCACACCGTTTAAGAACCCTACCGACAATGCAGAAGGGTTCCAGTCGCTGCATCTTTTCCAGTATTTGTTAATTTGCTATTCTCTTTGATTCCAGCCATTCTAGTAGGTATACCGTGGTAGGTCCCTTACTGTGGTTCTGATTTGCATTTCTTTAGTGACTTATGATGAGCATCTTCTCATGTGCTTACTGGCCTTTTGTAGATCTTTTTGGAGACATGTGTTCAGATCCTTTGCCCATTTTTAAGCTGTATTATTTATCTTTTTATTGTTGAATTCTGAGAGTTCTTTATATGTTCTGGGTACAAACCCCTCATCAGATAAGTGATTTGCAGGTATTTTCTCCCAGTCTGTACATTGTCTTTTCACTTTCTTGATGGTGTCATTGGATGCACAGAAGTGTTTAATTCTGACAAAGTCCAACTTACCCGTTTTTCTTTCCTCGCTTGTGCTTTTGGTGTCCTGAGAAACCATTGCTTAACCCAAAGTGACAAAGATTTATTCTTTTATTTTTTTTCCTAAGCACTGTATAGTTTTAGCTCTTACATTTAGATCTGTGGTCCAGTTGAGTTAATTTCTCACATATGGTGTGAGGTAAGGGGTCCACCTTCACTCAGTTGTCCCAGTACTGTTGTCAAAGGCAATTTATTTTGTGATGAAATACCACCTTTCGCAAATCCCGTAGATTCACATACTTTGGAAGCTTCTGAGGTGGCGGAAAGAGAACGTGCTGGAGGATGGCAAGAAGTCTAGCTTCTGGTCCCACCCTGCTGCCTTCTCACTGCAGGACTTGGAGTTAGCCCACTCTCCTTCTTGGCATCACACTTTTCTCCTCTACTGAGTGTGACAGCATGAGTCAAAGACTCCTCACAGGTTCTGCCGATTATTCCTGTGCCTGTGGCCTCTTTGTATTTGGTTGTTGACTGTGGGGGGCAGGCCGGGGCGGGGCGGGGGGCTGGAAAATTTCCACACTTCTCAGCAAAATGGGTTGCGTTTGCTTCTTGTTACCTGGTGACAGTCTGTGCCAGATCAGTGGCCCTTAGCCAACTGTCAGTCGTGAGTGAGCATCAGAATCATCTGGAGGATTTGTTAAAATGCAGCCTACCTTCCACTGCCACGCCCAGATGGGTGATTTATCTGATTTAAATGTTCTGGGGTGGGACCTGATCATTTGCATTTCTAACAGAGCCACCGC